GCTGATGCAGGGGACACGGGTTCGTGCCCCGGTCCGGGAAGATCCCACATGCCGCGGAGCGGCTGGGCTCGTGAGCCATGGCCGGTGAGCCTGCGCGTCCGGGAGCCTGTGCTCCACATTGGGAGAGGCCACAACAGTGAGAGGCCCGCGTACCGCAAGAAAAAAAAAAAAAAAAAAAAAGATGCCCTTAGGAGGCATAAAACCCAAATGGCAACGTGGGATCCTTGATCAAATCCTGGTTAGAAAAAAACAGCTATGGGAGACATTTGGGACAATTTGAATAAGGAGTGAGAATTAGATATTAGGGAATTAATTGTGTTAGGTGTGATAATGATGTTGTGTCTAGGAAAGAAAATGCCCTAATTCTTTGGCGAGGTATGCTGGGAGGTTGAGGGGTAAAGTGACTGGGCGTGTATAGCTTACTTTGAAATGGTTCCACAAAATATATATGCGAAGCATATATGGTGAAGTGTTAACAAGTATCAAATCAAGTTGGTAAGTGTATAGTTATTCATTGTACTATTCTTTTTTTCTGATTGTTTGAAAATGGTTGTCCTACAAGTTTAAATATCTGAAGCAAAGTTAAAAGCTGAAGTTAGGTTCTCAGTAGCTCTGAAGATTTTTATGTTGAGTGCTGCATCCTTGACTTGGGATCTGAGGTAGGGATAGAACCATAGCACTAGCTCTGGCCCAGCAGCTGTCCTGGACGTGGCAGGGACGCTTGGGCCCCAAGTGTGTGAATGTTGCCCTAATTACCTCCTCCTGTTATGAAATGAAACCGGTGTCTGTAGTAACTTGTCCAGAGAACACCAGCATGGAAATATAATGTCCTTAGAACTTAAAATGAAAAATAAGTTAGAAAGATAAAGGACTGATTACACAAACAAGCAGCCCTGCTCTCTTCCAAGGTATTTTTCCCCTCGCACTTTGCAGGATTGGAAGTAGAGGAGGTGTGGCCAAAAAAGTCATTAATAAGGAAAACTATCAGGTCATTTGTTTTTTATCCTTTTTCTCTAGATACAGCCTTCCTTGAAAACAATGGTTAAAGGCAGAAATAGATCCTTTAATGCTTTCGAATGTTCCTTAACTTTCAGCGATAAAATACCTCCTTCTTACGGGGCAAGTACCTAGTGGCTTCTTGGAAAGATGTTTATTCTCCTTCTTCCCCCGTTATACACTCGCCGCACTGGGACTTTATAAAGGTCAACACGATTATAAATAAGAAACCATTTTAAAGGAGAATGGTATCCATCCATCCAGTGCAGTAAATAAAAATATGTGGTTTTGCCTCATCAGGACAAGGAGCCCTTCTCAGACTTCATGTTTTTATTCTGTTGTCAGCCTTCCCATCCCCACCCACGAATCAGTTCATTTTTGATCTCATGTCACTGAGCCCACATCACTGGGACAAAGCCCAGTGTCACATTGTTTTCTACATGGTGTTATTTGTCAGCTGGTCTGGAAACACAGCCCACCATGGGTAGGGCTGGCCTCTTCTTCCGTAGTCAAGTTCATTCTTTCTCTTGGTTTGTACATATTAAAACTCACCTTTGCTTTGGATCTATTTTTGATGATGACCTTATTCTATTCTTGTGGCCTCTTTTTCTGCTTCACCCAGACAGTTTTGAAACATGTCGCTTTACCATGCTTTTTAAAATTTGATGGGAAGACTTAGGTCAGGTCTTCTAGAAGTGGAGTGGATTCACATGTGTGTGATTTGTCACCGAAGGGCTCCCAGGAGGGGAAACTGAGGGAGTGGGGGAAACAGGGCAGAAAAAGGCAGGAACCCAAGCAAGGGGGCACCTTCTGGCAAAGTCCCAGCCTCTGCCTGATCCTGCAGGGGACCTTGGAACAGAAATGCTATCTCAGGGTTTGTCCAGCCAAGTTAACTGGGCTCTCATGCTCCTGCACCAGCAGGTCATTGGCTAACGTCAGTCTGGAGGGATGTAAACTTCTAAGCACATTCAACCCTCTGTGGGTGGTGCTGGCCAAGCCAGGCTGTCCTCCAAAGAGACACAGCCACACATGGGCATGCGTGTGTGTGTGTGTGTGTGTAGTGACAGTGTTCATTACAGTGGGGCAAGGCCCATCGTTACTTTCCCCCCAGTATATTCCTTGAGTTTTCTTCCTTTTTAAATAAAAAGTTTACTATCAGTTTCAAAGTTCTCTGAGTGAACCAGGTGGAATTTGAATTGTTATGGTTTCGAGTCTACAAATGGATTCAGTATATTCCTTTCATAGATGACTCTCTTTTACCTTTGCCACATCCCCTGGAGTGCAAATTTAGACCATTTTATTAGCGTGGTGGAATTAAAAAGGCTGGGAATGATTGATCTCCACTGTTACTTAAATGTTTAAATAATGATATAAAAAATTTGAGACAAGAACTGCAGTTAATCAATTAAAACCCAGGCATAATCCACCTGCTTAACTAAGGCTGGAGCTCCAGTGACAGTCCTAAAATACACTCAACTTTGGATTGGTTCAGATAATGATCTTTTATTTGTTTTTTTCTTTAAAAGTGGTATGTCAACATCACTTCATTTCTACATTTCAGAGTTCTGTACATTTCTTAAAAGGAAATAAGCAATGCTCAATGTACAAAGTAAAAACAGAAAACTAGAAAAATCTGAATCAAATGGAGGAAGTTGCCAGAGGTCATACAGTACAAATTAGTAATATGATGTCATCTGAAGTGCAATACCACTGCTGGGATGATGAGTTAAGGGATGAAATAAAAATACTCTATTTTAAACAAACAGTATATATATATTTATATGTATATTTTTTACAGATAGTAGACCCAGTGATATCTGTCATATTGTAAAAACTTATTTACAAATAACTTTTTTTAGACATTACATATACATCAGCACCGTAGTAAAAACAAAAACAAAACAAAACCACCTTGTTAAAATCTACCTCTCTATGTAGTTGGTCCCAGTACTGAGCATTCGGAGGAAGCTTTAAAAAGAGCATGGAGCGCCCCTCCCGCTCCATCGGCCACCTCCAGTTTTCTCATCATTTCTTATACATTTCTTTCCTGTACCTTTCAGAAAAAGGTAATTATATATTCTGTGTCTTCTCATTTGTTTACTTTCTTCTGTTTGTTTTTGGTTTTCATCTGTTTCCACTCAAGAGTTTCCCTGGCAGTGTCCCTCCCCACACAGGGAGTTCACAGTCAGCCTGCCCCCCACCACCTCTTCCCAGGGGTGGCCCACTTGTTTTCCATCCTGCCCCTGGCTGAGTAGGGCTATGACCTTGGTACTTGGAGAGCAAGCCAAGGGCAGTGTTTGCCTGCCTGCTGCCTCTCTGCATCCTCTGCCCCAGCTCTTCATTCGAACCCCCTTCCTTCCCAGGACCCGCCGCCAGTGCAGCCAGTCCGGCTCCCGTGGCTGGGCCGGGGCTCTGGTGTGGCGAGTTACAGGTGAGTGTGCAGAAGCGAGCCTGCCTTTTGGACGCGGCGGGGGGG